GCTGCCATCTCGGACGTGGGGCAGTAAGATAGCTCGAGTCTCTCTTTCTCGATTTTGTTCTTCATGAAGAAATAGCGTAGGGCAATATGCTTCGTTCGGTTCGCGAACTCGCTCTTGTTCGCTATGCGAATTGCAGATTGGTTGTCGCAGAAGAGGGAGAAGTTGGGTAATTGGGCCAGCTTTGCGAAGGTATAGTCCTTCCTTGGTGGCTGAGTAGAGTGCAATGTATTCTGCTTCAGCAGAGGAGAGAGCAACTAGTTCTTGCTTGCTTGACTGCCACGAGATAGGACCGACGGGCTCAAGTCGATAGATATAGCTGGTGTGTTATTGCCTGTTATCAGAATCGCCTGCGTGATCAGCATCCACGTAGCCGATTAGCTTTGGTGTAGTGGTTCCAGTCTTGTGGTAGGTTAGGCCGATCGTAGGTGTGCTGACGAGGTAGTGTAACGCGCGGTCGAGTTCCGCCATGTATTCTGCTTCGGTCCGTTTGAGATAGGTGGCAAGCTGACTCGCTGAGTACGACAGGCCCGGTCGGCAGGTATCGGCTGCGAAGAGTAAGCATCCAAGTTTCGGCTGGTAGTCACGTAGTCCGGCAGGTCTGAGTTGATTAGACTTTTCCTGGTGATTTCCAGCGGTGTAGCGATAGGGCGTGGATATGGCGGCTGGTGATAATTCAAAGCGTTTGGCGATTGTGTCGGCGTATTTTGCGGCGCTGAGGTAGATCGCGTTTTCTCCGTCTAGTATGTTGAGTCCCAGGAACTGGGTTACGGTGGAAGCGAACGTGAGTGAGAGATCCCGTTGTAGCTCCCCTTCAAACCTGGTGGTGATGTCGTTGGTAGAGCCTATGTAGAGCAGGTCGTCTACGTTCACGATCAGCAGGATGTATTAGGCTTCCTTCGTGAATCTGTACATGCCCTGGTCGTGTGGTAGTTGCTGAAAGCCAATGCGGATGAATCGAGCGTGTAGGTACTGCTGCCACAGCCACGGAGCTTGCTTGATGCCGTACAGGGACTTCAGCAGTTGACAGACTTGATTAGGGTCTGTGTCGGATCCGTGTGGTTGTTCGACGAAGATTTCAGCGTCGACGGGAGCATAGAGAAATGCGTTAGCTACGTCGATTTGGCGGAGCTTCTTCTACTTCATGGCGGCTATCGCGAGAAGGATTTGCAAGGAGGATGTCGGCTGACTGGCGCGAAAGTCTCGGTGAAGTCTTGTCCGTGCTCTTGGTCGAAGGCGCGCACGACCCATCGTGCTTTGAATTTGTCAATTGTCCCGTCAGCTTTTGTTTTCACGCGGAAGACCCATTTTCCCGTGAGAATGGTTTTGTTGCGTGCCACTCCGATGGGTACTATCTTCCATGTGTTTCTATCTTCCAGCGCTTTTAACTCCTTGTCCATGGCTTCACACCATTTTTCTCTGTGCTCCCCCCCCAGAGTCTGCTGAACCATAGGAGGCTCTAGCGGCATTGGTGCGCCATGGACTGCAGTGACGAGCCCAAGAATCTGCAGTTCACTCTGTGGGTAGCGAGGGAGTTTTGGGTCCTCAGGATAAACTGCTTCGTCTCCCGCTTCTGGATCAGGTAAGAAGTTGGGGCCTATGCGTTCTGAAACGTTCGTGTTGACCGGCTGGGGTGTAACGTAACCATTGTCGGCGAATTCGTAGTAGACTTCGGCGTTGATGCTTTCGCGAGGGTTTTCGTCGTCCATCGGAACGGGTACCGAACAGTAGGGAAGATGTCCGGCTTCCTCCGATGCTCCGTCCACGTTTTGTTCATCCCGGTCAGCCTCATCTGCTGGCGAGGCGAAGGCTCGGTTGCCACGGAAGCCGCCCGTGAGGTCTCGTTCTGCTGCCAAGTTGTCCAGGTACGTTTGGAGAGTGAGTCGTTCGTAGAAAATCACGTCACGTGCTGCTACTGTTTCCTTCGAGTGGACGTCGAAAATCTTCCACGCGTTGTAATGTTTTTTCGATGCCCATGTGTAATCCCCACTGTGCGCGTTGTGAGAATCGTCCGGCTCGTGCAGTGTGGGGTCGGTACTGTACCATGCAGCCAAAAACTTGTAACATTTTGGTGTTGCCCAATTTTCCTGTCCACAGCAGGTGCGGTGATGCGTTGTTCGGAAGCGAAGATGGCGAAAGCAAGTTGTGTAGCAGCACAGCGTGGTCCATTGCCTCCGGCCATTGATGGTTGGGTAGTCGCATGCCACGTAGTAGCTTGCGCATGGTGTTCTGGAGGGTCCTGTTCATCCTTTCTGCCACGCCTTGCTGTTGATGAGCGTAGGGAAGGGAGATGAGTCTCTTGATGCCTCTTTCTGCCAGGTGTTGCTTGAAGTGCTGTGATTGATATTCTCCTCCCCCGTCTGACTGGAAATTTTTCAGCTTCACTCCTGATTCCCTCTCTACTACTGGGAGCCAAGCAACGAAGGCTTCGAAGGCCATGTCGCGACTCGAAAGATTGAGGTGCTAGACGTTTTTTGTGGCGGCGTTGATGAACGCGATTACGTAGATGTAAGCTCCCTGTCCGCTTTCGCGGGTGTACACTATGTCGCTGTAGACCTTTTCCAGCGGTGCAAATGCTGGCGTGCTCAGGTTGTGGTGAGATAAGAACGGCTGATGAGGTAAGTCGGCTTCAGGACAGGTAAAGCAGGTTCCGCGGACTCGTTGAAGTTCTCTTCCGTCGGGTAAGAGTAGTGAATCTTTGTTGAGAACTCCTGCTCTTATCGTGTTGTTCAGTGTCGTGTTGCTGGGATGTCCTAGCCTTTGATGCCACAATGATTCGTCGACACGATGTCCAGGTGAACGTCTGTATAGGTCGGAGATGGAGTAGAAACCTGCAGTGATGTTAGCACTTCTGTGGATGTCTCGTGGAGCGGGAGTCAGCTGTTGAGCGGGATTCGGTGTTGATGAAGAGCTGGCGATTGGTGCTGGTGCTGTTGTTGTTGCTTCTGCTTCTGCCGATGTTTCTGCTGCTGCTGTTGTCTCTACTGCTGCCGATGTTGTTGCTGCTGCTGTTGTTTGTTGAATCACTGCTAACGCCCTTGTTTGTTCTGCTTCAGGTATAGTGTGTGAGTACCAGAAGCCTCCGAGGCTGAAGTCTGAGTCGAGATCTGGTGGGTGCGACCAAGTGGTGAAGTTGACAATCGCGTCGCTGTCAGCAGTTCCTAGATCTGGGACGAAATCCAGAACGACGACGTTCTTCAGGACTGCTTTCCCAATGTAAAGTCCACCCCTCCCGTTGTACTGGTTGAATTCCTGAGTGGTGCTGTCGGCTTCAAGATGAATCCCTTTTGCCATGAGCTGGCTGACGCTTAGTAAGTTGTGGCCCAGTCCTTCTGCAATCAAAACCTTTGACATCTACAAAACGATGTTAGTTTCGCGGGACTGAAGTTGAACTGCTCCTTGTCGTCGTGTCTGCAGGTTCTGGTTGTTCGCAACGGTGATCACGACTTCCCAGTTGAGATGCTGTTCCCGTTGAACAAAGCGATTTGACGAGCACATGTGTTGTCCGCAGCAGATGTCCAAGAACCAAGTATTTTGACCGGACGGTTCGCTCTGTGCGATAGCTGCGTATGTCGGGTTTGGTTGCAGTGATTCCCAACGGGGTGTGCTTTCGTCAAGCAATTCTTCTTGTGAGTAGGTCGGTGGTGAACCGGTGATGCAAGAGTCTGTTTCTTGTTCCTCGTGCAGGTTGTGACGTTGTCGTTGAAGGTGGCGCCTGATTGGAAGGATGCTGCTGTATGGTAGTCACTTGACTACTTGAGGGTGTCGATCGCTGCTAATTCGGGCAATGAATACGAGAGTGTCCTGGCGTTCGACAGAGATGATAGAACGGTGGTACGTATCTTCGTGCTTGGTGCTCTTGTTGTCGGTTGTGGTTGTTGTTGCGACGGTGAGCATGAAAGGCGAACTCTGGTACTGATCCTCTTTTCTTTTGTCGTTCTTCATGCACGTCCATGTCTTGTTGTTCGGCATGGATTTCGGTGCAGAGATTTGCTTCGGAGATTCTTCCGTGGGCTCGGAGAATGGCTCGAGTGGAGCGCCACTGAGGACCGAGACATGTGATGACGACAGTGACGAACACTTCTTCGGATATTGATCCGCCGCATCGAAGGAGTCTATCGCGCAGACCGCAATAGCGACTGATATATGCCATTCCCTTTTCGCCGGGTTACATTTGGACCGTTGTTAATTGCGCCATGAGACGACTTTGATTAACGCTGTCGGTTGCTTGATAATGCCATGAAGACTAAAGTCTCAGATTGATGATGTATTAGCGGAAGCGTAGTAGTAAACCAATTGAACCACCTTGCACTAATATGTGAGAACAAGATGAGTTGATTATAGCAAAGGGATATAAGACTTTATATGATTACAAGGAATACGAAAGGTTTAACTGTAACTGCTGTTGCGGTTCGATACAGCAACGTCTCGGGTAACTGTTCAATAGCGAGTCAGTTGTTTGTCCTTGCTGTCGCGCAGCCTTTGTCGAGTCAAAGTTTGCTGGCCTGTGACCTTCGCTTCAACCTCCTGCTGTTGTCGCCTTGTCAACCGCTTTGTTGTATCTTGGTTGACTCGGTGTTGCTTCGCTGTGGATATGCTTCGTTCTTGTTATAGTGTTCGACACATCAAAAGCGTGAATTAGATGTTTCCAACACTTTCAACCCCACCTTTCAGAGATCTGACGTGCTATTATTGGTGGCAAAAATACGGCCACGCGGCTGGCTTTTGGTCCAGGAATTGAAGCATAGCATCCACTGCAGCGCTTTGGTTAGGCAGCCACGTCTCACGATGAGTTTCTGCTTCCATTCTTGTATCCAGCTCCCCTCCAGCTCGACAGGCAATTTCAATTTGCGGCTTGGCAAACACATAAATGCACCTGCGTACATCACTTCGTTCATCCGAAGTCAATCATCTACCAGACTAGCTGTCCCGATAACTGACCCTCTGTCAAGCACCGCACGCTAGCACAATTCCGAATTTATCACAATTCCTAATTTGGCACAATGGCTTCCTCCCTCGTCGCACACCAATCTCTCTCCGCGCCTTCCTTCAATACAGCAGTGAAGGGAGTTGCTCTCTCCGCCAATCGCGTAGCAGTAGCTCCCATCATTGCTCCCCGCGGACTCGGCTTCACCGCCCTCCTCGGCTTCAACAAGGCCGCCGTCCCCGCTAAGACCGCCCCCGTTAAGAAGCAGCTGCGCACCGAGGATGGAATTTTCGGTACATCCGGCGGCTTCGGCTTCACGAGAGCAAACGAGCTCTTCGTGGGCCGCGTGGCGATGCTCGGATTCGCGGCGTCGCTGCTGGGCGAAGCGGTAACCGGGCAGGGAATCCTTTCACATCTGAACCTGGAGACGGGCATCCCCATCACAGAAGCCGAGCCGCTGCTGCTCTTCTTCATCACATTCACCGTGATCGGCGCCATCGGCGGGCTGGGCGACCGCGGGCGATTCGTGGACGACGAGGCGCCGGCGGGTCCGCCGGTGAAGCTGGGGAGCGCGAAGGCGGCGTTGGGGTTGAGCGAGGAGGGGCCACTGTTTGGGTTTACCAAGGCGAACGAGCTGTTCGTGGGGCGCATGGCGCAACTGGGGTTCGCGGCGAGCCTGGTGGGCGAGGTGATCACCGGGCGAGGCGCGCTGGCGCAGCTGAATATCGAGACTGGCTTGCCCGTGTGGGAGCTGGAGCCGCTGCTGCTCGCCAGTATCGCCTTCTTCTTCATCGCCGCTATCAACCCCGGTACAGGGAAGTTCATTAACGATGAGGAGTAGGGCCGCTCGCAGCACATGTACATATATACCGTCAGGTTATGCTTTGTCGCATGTATACAATGTTTTGAGTCAGGAATATACCTTCTCGTTGACACACTGACTACCTGAGTGTTGGAACCGACTTATGAAAGTGAGTGATTCCTAAATTTCTGGCAACATTCCCATGCCAGACACACCAGTACATGCAATAACCCCATCATCCCATCCCATCGCATAGTCAATTCATGGCGAAACACCCACCGTGTAATCACATCACAACTCTGTACCGAGTATTCACTCGCGCCTTTCCATGGTGCAGGTTAGTAATAGACGGCTCAAGGGTTGAACATGACAATTCTGCTTTAGAGGGGGTGTAGAACAGGTGGCATCATTTACCTCCCAGCCATGTACACACACAAAATAACATGCAATCGCACAGTCCATACCATGCCATGTCACTGACAAACCTTCCCATACCATCATACAGCCGATGTCATGCCATATCACAACATCGCATGGCATCACACATTGAGCATTTCATGCCATAAGATAAGACTCACACACTCCATGTGATGCCCTCACACAACCCTTATCATGCCATCTCACTCACACTCCATCCCACACCATCACGCATGTCGTGTCATCTCACTCAGAAACACCATTTCATGCCATCTCATTCAGAAACACCATTTCATGCCATCTCACTCAGAAACACCATTTCATGCCATCTCACTCAGAAACATCATCCCATACCATCACACCGCCCATATCATGCCACCTCATTCACACAGCATCCCATGCCATCAGATAGACCATTTCATCCCATCTCGCGTTATCACACCATCCCATGCTATCGCACAGCCCAATTCATGCCAACTCACTCACATATCTTCACACACCATGACATACCTTGATACACCATCACATCACACACCGTCACGTACAATCACATACCGTCACATGCCATCACATACAATCACATTGCTGACTTCATGCAACATAACTCACTCACACCATCCTAGTATGCCATTACGTAGCCTATGGCATGCAATATCACTCACAGACCATCCCATATCATCACACTGACAATTTCATCCCATCTCACTAATTCACACCATCCCATGCAATCATAATCCCCATGTCATGCGATCTCATTCACACGCCATCTTATACCATCACAGCCGATTTCACGCCAAATCACTCACACACACCACCTATGCCATATCCCTCACACATACCATACCATGCCATCACACACACCGTCCCATACAATCACACATAATCCCATACCATCACGCACGCCTCATGCATATCAATCTCACACCTTTCCATGCAATCATACACAATTTCCCAACCCATCCCATCACTCACACAACCCCATGCAATCACTCACACCATCCCATGCAATCACTCGTGCCATCATATACTATCACTCACACCATCCTATGCCATAACACAAACCGTCCACTGACCTAACAGAATCCCTTGACACCCATGCCACTCACACAATTCATCCGCAAGATGATGTATTTGTCCCACCGTGTCTCACAGAGCGGTGCGCACCAGGGTGGAAGTATCGAAGGACCCCCCATGACTGCCCAGGTGTATTGTGTGCTCGTGTAGTGGAGCAGGTGAGGTCTCAAGTGGAGCAGGTGAGGTCTCAAGTGGAGCAGGTGAGGTCTCAAGTGGAGCAGGTGAGGTCTCAAGTGGAGCAGGTGAGGTCTCAAGTGGAGCAGGTGAGGTCTCAAGTGGAGCAGGTGAGGTCTCAAGTGGAGCAGGTGAGGTCTCAAGTGGAGCAGGTGTGTGCTGAGCTGGTGGAGGGCACTTATATTGAGCTAGGATACCTAGATAGACCACAGCCATGGCATCGCAAGTGCCTCCAAGGCTGGAAGCCCATAATCCCTTGCTGCGCCCATCTTCCTCATCCCTGGGGAGAGAGTGGAGCGCGGATCCGAGATCGGCGCTTTGTAGGTATCGAACCGCTCGAATCCGCACTCTCGGTGGATCCGCGTGGGAAACGGGGCCTGGTTTCTACCTGGGTTCACTTATAAGCCCCAGGAAAAAAAAAAAAAAAAAAAGGAGTAATTTTGAGCAGTTTCTTCTCCGTCTGTTTTGTGTGAAATGTGGATATGCTTTTTTCAGTGTGTGCTTCTGTGTGCTTTGTTTTTACCTGCTTGTTATTCGTGTACTTCTCACTCCATCCCATCCCACCCCATCCCATCCCATCCCATCCTATCCCACCCCATCCCATCCCATCCCATCCCATCCCATCCCTTCCCTTCCCGTGTCGTGGTTGTTTCCTCCCGTCTTCTGGGACAAGTCTAATCTCGCTGCTTGCTAACATCTAATGGGTCCCATGCTTCCCGTCGAATGGGCACAAGGCCAACTGGACATCATTTCAAGGCGTCCCATTCTCTCTCCTTCACCCTGATCTGAGCCGTCCCCTGATATCCATATCATCTGCCATTCAAGTTGCCATCCCGGTTGCCATTTAGGTTGCCATGGTAGCTGCCATTTCATGTGCCATGTCAATTGACATCTCAGTTGACATTTCAGTTGCCACTTCAATTTCCATTTCAGTCAGCTCTTGCATCGCCATCAGAGATGTCGTTTCTGCTGCCAATTCAGTTGTCGATTCAGTTGCGATGCCAATTACCGTTTCAGTTTGCATCTCAGTTGGCCATATCATTTTCCTTTGCAGTTGTAATTTCAGTTGTCATTTCAGTCGCTATTGCAGTTGCCGTATCAATCGCCATCGCGGTAGTCATTTCAGTTGACTTTGAGTTGCCATCTCTCACTTCCCATTTCAATTGACGTTTCAGTTGTCATCTCACTTGCGTTCTCGCTTGCCAATTTAATTGTCATCTCAGTTTCTCAGTTGCCATCTCAACTGCCATTTCAAATGTCATCTCAATTTCCATTTCAACTGCCATTTCAACTGCCATTTCAACTGCCATTTCAAATGTCATCTCAATTTCCATTTCAGCTGCCTTTTCAATTTCAGTTTCTCGGTTGCCATCTCACTTCCCATCTCCATCTCTTCCTGCTTGCCAGTTGCCGCCTCCTTGCCATCTCACTTGCTCCTTCACTGCTCACCAGCAGGGCAGCTGATTGCCAGCAACACACTCATGTGAATCCCTCTCGCCCTCTCCAACCTCCCAACGCCCTGCCCTCCTCCTCTACTTCCCTTGACTCTTCCCGCGTTTTCTCTCCGTTGACTCTGCTGCTTCCATTCTCTCCCCTCCTCTCAACACCACTCCCCACAGTCATTCCTCGCTTACTTCACCACCCCTACTGGGAAACGATGTCTTCACTCCAGAAGCACACTTTTTCCTTGCTGCCCTCCATCCTAGGTTCTCATTCACATCACCCAACCCCATGCCTCGCTATGTCAGCCATGCACCATTCACCTATGCACCCCTGCACTCATGCACCCATCCAGTCATGCACCCATGAGGGCACACACGCATGCACACACCCACACACCTACGCACCCATACAGCAATGCACCCAGGAACCCTCTTACTAGTGGAAACATGCGTTTCATCAATCCACCCAGTACCTTTTTCTGCTATGTGGCCCTGATGAACCCATGCATGCACCCATGCACCCATATCCATGCACTTATTCACCCATGAACCCATGTACACACGTACCCATGCAGGTATGGAAGGAGGACAGTGTCAACATGTTCAACACAGCAGCTGGTAGCTGATCCAGTCACAACCTATCAATGTACACTTCATGGTCCTTTGGGACCTTGTGCTTTCAGGATCTCAATTATGACCCATGTGTGTTTAGGAACATTAGTATTGATCATGTGCTCTAGTGTGGTGCTGCGTTTTCTAGCTCCGCTGCTTTACACCCACCCAGATGAAACAGAGAATATATAATGCAATTTACTTGCAGATTACAAGTGTTATTCCTATCATAGAGGTAGGGCATTAACATGTCCTACTAATACACAGTGTATGTAGTGCTACCTACAAGTTATCACATATTCCCAGCAGCAGCTGGGAATCGTTGCATTAGTGTTGCCATTTTTCCAGCACAACCTTCAGTGTTGTACCCGTGTATGTACAGCCCATGTTCCTTTGGGATGTTCTCATGGGAGAGCAGCCATTGCTATGGCGGCTCTTCAGGAGCTTCTTCTGCGCGCCTTGCTGCTGCTGCAGCCTGGCCTCGCCTGCCTCTCATCCACCAAACCCTCTCTCCTCCCTGCCAGCAACTTCACCCCCTCCTTGCCACACACGCCACTTGCCACTGCTCTGCCACCTGCTGCCTTCACACCACCCTGCCTTTTACCTGCCGCCCTCCCTGCTGCTTCCTCCCCACACCAATACTCCTCTCTCCTCTTCACCCCACTCGCATGCCTGCTGCTGGCCTTGCCAGCGGCTCTCACTGATGATGCAGCGCCACGTGATCCCGCAACTGCTGTTGCACTACATGGGGCAGGCCTTGGCTTCTGTGCTGCTGCTGCTGCACGTGAAGCAGAGCCTGAATGAGTGCTGCTGGCCTTGCTACCCTTTACACCCATCCTCACCGCCTTGCTGCTGCAGCCATTCTTTCCCTTAGCGATTTCACCCCCCACCCTGCACCTTGCTGCAACAGCAGGTCTCTTGACTCCTGCCCTGTTGCCAAGGATAAAAAATTCGACCGAAAATTTTATTTTCCATCGTATTATACGGTATAGTATTATACATGCGTTTAAAACGGTTTAATACGGTCATTCGTTACATTTAAGTTTCAAATAAAAATACGGTCGTTCTTTTCGGCCGAAAGTTTGAAACCGAGACAGTGTATATCGATTTTCAACATTCAGACCCGTCGAGTTCAATACCGTATTACCCCGGATAGAAGCGCACCTGCGCTTATAATAAAGCAGAGTTTTTTAGGGGGGTGCGCTTCTAATTGAGTCATTTTTATTAGCGCATGCGCGTATAAAATGACATATACGAATTTATAAATTTAAGACACCAAATTGTATGTTTCACTCTTGCCATTTCAACCGAGTCGAAAATTTTCGTGTCACAATGCAGAATCTCCTGCAAGCGATTCTCTTCCAGCACACAGGGGCCAAGATGCGACACTTTGCAGTCATGCCAGCACATCCTGATTGGACGCGCAGCCAGTCAGGTCTTCGAGAGTCAAACTCAGCGAAATTGAGATTGTACTCGCTTCAAAATTGAACCTCGCTACTGTTTCGAACAGAAATTATAATTTGAAATTGTACATGCGCTTATAATAAGTAACGTTTTCACAGGGGGTGCGCTTATAATTGAGGATTGGCCATAAGCGCATTGCTCCAGATAGAAGCGCATGCGCTTATAATAGGCCTACGCTTCTATCCGGGGTGATACGGTATGGGGGATTTCTTGCAAAGTCTTGTGAGTCCCGACAGAATTTGGGTCGAGTCGCGTATGTCAGGAAAATGTCGAGGCGCGACATTTTGACATTTGACGAACGGGAAAGAAATGCGAACCCGTTTCGCAGAGTCGTTGATGTCGTTTGCCGAATCGCGTCGACACCAATTCGACGAGGCGCGACGTTTTACATATTTGGCGAACCGGCCAACTTTCTTACCCGTTTCGCGCATTCATCAACACAATTCGCGCTTTGCAATGTGTTTTCGCATGCAGTCGTGGTGCTGCAAACAATTGCATGCGATGCATTTCCAGCCAATAGCAAGCACCCAATCAACTTCCCTTTCATCTCAACCATACCTTAAACACCACTCGACAAAGGAGCACCAGCAACCTCTAAGAGGTACTTATTGGTAGTGAAAAACGTCACCCGACACATTCATCTTCACTCTGGCTGCCTTACCTCAGAACACCGATCTGCCCCACTTCATCTTAGCTCAGTCTTGATCGACGCCATGGTGCGACCGGCTTCAGAATATTGGGAGCATGCGATTAAGATTAATAACGCAGAGGATAAGGTCGTTGGTGCTACATGCATTCATTGCAAACTTCACGTGACGGCTAATGCGACTAGGATAAAAGAGCACATTGTCGGCACTGCTAACAAGAAGGATCGGAACGTCGCGATGTGCAAATCGGAGTACGCTAAGCAGCGGCGGGCGACAGCCGATCAGGAGCTCTCATCCGCGGGGAATGGTTCGGGAGGATCGAACCGTGCCTCCACGTCCACGGTTGACCCTCCTCCGCCCGCACGTCGCTCTCGGCAGAGAGATATCCGTGACATGACGGATACCAATGCGCAGAATCGGCTAGATTACCTGTGGGCTGCTGCAGTTGCCGAGAACGACCTCGCCTTCAACGTCAGCAAGTCGAAGTCAATCCAAGCCTTCGTTGACGCGGCGGTCGTGTACGGGAAGGCGTACACCCTCCCTACCCCCTACAAGGTATCCGGCCCGCTGCTCGACAAGCTGAAGGCGGACACGGAGGATCTTGTGCGGCCGATGAAGGAGAGCTGGAAGACAAGCGGGTGCATGCTCTCCGTGGATGGGTGGACATGCATCAAATCCCGCGGGATGGTGTGAGTCATCGCCCAAAATGACACTGCTCCTGTCATTGTCGACATCGTTGACTCGAAGACATCAAATACCGGGGTCTACTTGGCGGGTCTTATTGAGGGAGCGATGAAGGAGGTGGGGCCTAAGCATGTCGTCCAAGTCGTGATGGACAACGCCTCTAACAACAAAACCGCCGCCAACAACCTTCGCTCGGAGTATCCCCATGTCGTCTTCACCAACTGCGCCGCCCACTGCCTAGATCTCATATTGCACGACCTCGGCAACATCCCTGCTGTTAAACGCGTGCTTGGCCAAGTGCACCGCGTGGTGATGATGGTCAAAGGCAGTGCCTCTGCTGTCATCTTGTTCCATGAGCTTTTTAGCAAGCTCTCCTTGGTGAGGCCGGGTGCAACGAGATTCGGCACCCAGGTCATCATGCTGGGCAGGTTCCTGGAGGTGAAGAGGGCGTTGAGGGCGATGGTAATCAGTGAAGAATGGGAGGAGGTGACGGTGGCACGGACGGAGGAGGGGATGGAGGTTAGGAAGCTCCTTTTGGATGATGTTTTTTGGGACTGTGGGACGGCGGTGCTCCGCCTCATGACTCCGATCTACGAGGTTCTTCGAGCTGTTGACACACGGGCTCAAGTCATGGGCCAAATCTATGGCCTCATGCTTGAGGCCACGGTCAAGACAACCGAAGCGGCTGAGGTGGCTGGTAAGTGGGTGGGCTGGGTGCTTTCTGTTTTGCTGTCAGTTTTGTACTTTCTGTATTGTTCAGTTTGTTTGTTTTCTGTTTTGTACATTCTGTTTTTGTACTCTGTTCTGGACATTCTGGTTTTGTGCATTCTTTTTTTTTATTCTGTTGTGTACATTATCTGCTCAATTTCCACCGTGAGCAGCCTCCCATTTCATCAGACGGACGGAACTGCTAGCCACAAAGGATAGAAGCACCCTTTTTATCACCATCAAGGCAATCATTGCCAAGAGGTGGGATGCACAGCTACACAACTGCCTGCACGCCATGGGGTGGCTTCTCAACCCCCGTAACCAGTACATGGAGGAGGTAAAACACGACCCAGAGATTAGGAAAGGGGCGGATGAGGTAATTCAATCCCGGGGAGGGGATTTCTCACAGCGCATAACGCTTGCTGCACAGCTGGCTCAGTATCACAGAGGGGAGGGCCGGCTGGGCTCTGATGATGCTCGTTGGGCAGCAAGGACCTTGGTGGAGGGGGGGCGCATGACGGATGCGGAGTGGTGGTGCCTGTTTGGTGGGGAAGTGCAGGCGCTCCAAGAGCAGGCTGTGATGGTGCTGTCACAGCCAGTCATCTCCTCTGAGGTGGAGCGGTACTGGTCATCCGTTCAGCGTGTGCAGAGGCGTACCGGAACCGCCTCACGGCGAAGAAAATGACTGATGTGACCATTGTGGCCTTCACCAGGAGGGCCCGCGATGCTTTTGATCAAAAGGCAGCCGTGCGGGCACGGCTCTATGCGGACCTGGGCAACAGCACGCTCAAGGAAGGGTGTGCCATCATCCCGGCCGAGTCGGAGGACGAGGAAGGGGAGGCTGAAGAGGAGGAAGAACCCGTGGAGGAAGAATGCACCATTGATTGGTCGGAGTTTGGGAACATCGGCAGGAAGAGGAAGGGGAAGGCGGGTGAGTCATCAAAGGGGAAGAAGGGGAAGGGCATCGGTTCATGCAAGGGAAAGGGGAAAGGAAGAGCACGGGATGAGGAGGCGGAAAAGGAGGCGGCAGACAGCAGTGGGGAGGAGGAAGAACCTGTTAGGAAGAATCCCAAGGGACGAGATGCCTGGGATTGCAGCGATGGTTCAAGTGGGGAGGAGGAAGAGGACGAGGAGGAGGAGGACGAAGAAGAGGAGGATGAGTAGAGTGAGGGTAGAGGCAGTAATAGTGGACCTTTGCAGGCCTGTTTCTCCTTAGAGTAGGTTTTTATCGCCTTCATAGTCATTGTTGTAGACATTTCAGTAGTTTCTGGATTTTTTTTCGAGCAAAAAACGGCCAACAAAAAAACGGTTGAAATCTGGCCAAACACGCCGTATTGTACGACCGAAAAAAACAGCCCGTATAATACAATGGCCGTATTTTTAAACCTTGCCTGTTGCTGAAATCCCCATCTCTTGTGATGCCGCAGCTGGTGATTTCACCACTGCTGCTGCTGCGGAGGAAACAGCTAGTGCTGCATACTCCGCTACACTCGCTGTTGTTGGAGATGCAGGAGACACTGGCTTTCCACGCACGATCCAGGCCGGAAGGCAGGCTTCAATGGCGGCTTCAATATCCCTCGACCACGTCTCCTGGTTCAGATTGGCCCATCTCAGGTAAGCAGCACGTGCTCTCAACTTTCTGGCCCATTCACAATCCATAGCTCGAACCTCCTGGCACAGCTTGACCCACCTTGCTTTCTCACTAGAATCGGCAACACGTGCACTTGCCTCCTTTGGCAATGCTTCTGTGGTCACACACGCTTCAGGCACCTGTAGTGTGGTTGAAGCCACTGTAGCCACAGGCGCTACCTCAGGCACCACCACAGGCGCAACCACAGCAGACGGTGTGACTTCAGCAGTAGCAGATGGTGAGAGGGGAGCAGCAGTGACGACCACAGGTGCAAGCACGACAGCAGCAGGCTTGCCTCCGAAGCGGCCGATTCCAGGCCGCTTCACATCAGGTGAGACCGCCACGTGCACCTTCATGGGCTTGTGCTGGCCATCAGCGAGGCCTTGGGAGGACGCATGCATGTGCTTCGCCAGAGTCTCCAGCAGCGGCCTCACGCTCTTCAGAAGTACGCTGCTGCAGCGCATCTCACCGTCGCCGTTGCAAGCAGCAGCAGGAAGTTGGAAATCCGCTACCTTGTCAATGACAGACTTCGCAGGAGAGTACGATGCTGCAAGCGAGAACACAGTTCAACGCGTGCCAAACCTGACAATGCATCGGGTAGGCGTGGCAGGACTTGAGGTTGAAGAACCCGAGTTGAAGCTCTTCGCCATTCCGTTGTTAACAAGGCAGCAGTCCATGTTAATAAACGGCAGATCGCTTCACAGAAGCTTGGTAAGAGGACAGAAAAATAAGATCTGAAAGCTGTGAGTGTTGAGCTTTCAGCAGAGGACGACCGAGGGTACTGGACAAGCAGATCCGGAGATTTCAAGAAAACAAGAGACGGAGATGAGGATGTGCGAATAAAAAAGGGAATTCTGGCGACACCAATTCTGCTCAGACCCTCGGCTCCACCCTCTGCTTGTCCATTGGAGTTTCACCCTCGACCTGCCTCGCTGGTTGCTGCGCTGCACGCCACGTCAGATGCTTTTAGAGTGGGTCGAAAACAAAGAAGGTTCGTCGCAGACATTCTCGGGGCGGCTTCTGTTGGGGTTTCAGATTCGTGCTTCCTCCAGGCGCCTGAGCTACAATCCCGCCAACTTTTGAAACCAACGGACGAGCCAGCGAAGGCGAAACATTTCGCAAGGCCATGGCACTGCCGCACGCGACGGATCTGGCGAACGAACGCTGGTTCAGGATTCAGTTTCGTGCGCAGTCGAAATGTCTCATTTCGTTGGCGCCACCTTTTCGTCGCACGGTATTTCGGTACCAGCGAGTGTTACCATGAATGTTACAAACGAATGTTACTGAACGTGTTACTACTGGCGAGCATGTGGAGCTTTCGTCACGTACTGAACGAGCGCTGTGCGACGGATCTAGGCGACAGATCCGCCGCTGGAGAAAGAACTAGGGCGTTGTGGCTAGCTCCAGCTGTAAAGCATTGGGACTGCCGAGGAAGGGGTAATAGAGCTGGATGTATTCACTATATTGAGCTTCTTTTGCAAGAAGGTCAAGAGAACAGCTACTTCTGCTATATCATTATCAACAAAAACGATATTCTTCTTAGAGGAATAAGAGGTAACGGCGCGGTTATAGAAATCCTGACACATACACACACATACACACATAGACACACACATATATACGCACACATACACATATACACACACACATATACATACACATATATATACACATGCACACACATACACACACAGAGATACACACACACATACACATATACACACGCACACGCACAGACACACACGCACGCACATACACACACACATATACACACACACATACACAGACACACGCACATACACACATACACACGCACACATATGCATACACACACACACACATACACACACACACACACGTACACACTATTTGAAAATCAAAGTGGTTCATTGAGATTAATCTTTATGTTCCATGTTTTCTTTAATAATTCTTATATCAAGTTTCTAAACATTTGTTATTATTTCATTATGTACTGTTGGAATAACCTAAATGTTACAGTAACATTCCCGAAGGCTCTCCACTCGCGTGTCACTCCATAACGAAGCTACGTGTCAGAGGTCCACTGGTGATCCATTGTTAAGTAGCGGCTCAATGCGCCCATAACCCCCCAGGACAACGAGCTTGTAACCCTTCCCTAGGATCAATCGGGGATCACCAATGGACCGTTGACAACCCCCCGAACTGGGATGCCCGAAGTGCACACACTGGGATTCGAACTCGAGACCTTCGCTCTGATATCATGTCAGAATCTCAACCGGTAGACCATTGGGATAAAAGGGCTTGTTAAATAGCGGGTCAGTGCGCCTATAACCCCCCAGGACAACGAGCCTGTAACCCTTCCATAGGATCAATAGGGATCACCAGTGGACCTCTGACAAATGTACCCCTCAGAGTATATGGCTAGCCAGGTTTGCTATTTATATCTTTGTATCACTATCATTTAAATCATCTTGTTCTCTTTCAATTTATTAACAAGGTCATTACAAAGACTTCATTGTCTTCTCTCAAACTTGACAGACTTATCCTATCCACTACGATCCTTCACTTTTAACAATATGGTATGAGAGCTAGAGTGGATAATAATGCCTGTTAAGGTCTTGTTCTTTCTAGAACAACCTCTTTATAAATTACTCGTTAAACTATTACAAACTCTGCATCTCTATGGCTCCCGAAGGAAAAGCCACTGCAGATTCTCCGGGCCCACCACCAGCAACGCCTACTGCACCATCAGCGGTGACCTCCGTCAGCGCCGCTCTCGTTGAGCAGCTGTTCGCTCGCATCAACGCTCTTGAGAGCCATCAAGCTATGAGCATCGATGGCTCAAGCTACGCACGTGGAGTTGCTGGACTCCCTCTCCCTGGAGAAGACCGCCGCGTCAACTCCGAGAGGTCATTTACCTTTGACAACCGTCAAGCTTCAGCTCCTGCGCAAGATAGTCAACATCGCACACAGTCAGAAACAATTGCGACAATGCAAACAAAGTTCGTTCTGAGTTCAAAGCTGAAGACATCAGTTCCCTTTGACGGCAAGGACTTCTACACGTGGAGCTTCGAGTTTGAGCTCCTCGCGACAACTGCGCAAATCTGGATGTACTACGATGGAAGCTTACCGTTTCCGACAGAAGGCACCATCCAAGAGAAGAACCAGTACTACCATGAGTATCTTCTCGTGTACACCACTCTTCTCCGAAACCTCTCCCCCTCCAAGCAGCTTGGCATTCGCTCCTACAAGCCAGAGTGGGCAGCCGCGTACGGTTCTTGGGAGCACCTGCGCAACTCATACATGGCAACAGATCTCGTTACAATGAGTCGCCTACTCAGCCAACTTACATCGGTTAAAATGCAACAAGGGGAGAAAGCAGGACCGTATATCAATCGGTGTCGCAATCTGCGCGACCACATTAAGAAGTGCAGCGGAACCGTTCCCGACGACATGTTCGTCTCCATGGTTCTTTCCGGCCTTGGACCCGATTGGTGACAGTGCCAATCATTGCTCCGCGCTCGAGCAACCATCTCCGAGTCTGCTCTGTGCGCCACGCTTCTCTCCGAGCAGAAGGAGATCGACCCGTATAATGAGAAGAACAACAAACGGGAGAAATTAGTGTTCTTCACTGGAGCGACTGAAGGGGAGCAGCATGGAAGGAAGAGGACATTCTGCAAATGCTGCAAGAAGCCCGGGCACACTATCGATCGGTGCTACAATCCTAAGGCCGCAGACGAAAGGCGCACCAACTCCTCCAACCTGCAGCCTTCGGCACCCTTGGGTTCCCCTGCTGCAACAATGATTGTCTCGCCACCCTCCGTCGCGAGCACTTCGCAAACTCCTGCACGCATCACGGTCAAGGACAAGGGAAAGGGGTCAATCATGAGCTGCATGGCGCGACGACGCAAAGGTTTCCGATACTACGACAACATCGAATACCCGCCAGTCGCGCCCATCAACCCCATCACACCCAGTCGGAACAACGATCCTACTATTCACAGCTGGATCGACCGCCCAACAAACATTCCACCTGATTTTGAGTTGCCTCCACCGACCCCAGAGTCTCCTCCCAGCATTTCCGCGAGGCGATACATCGACCTTTCGCAAGTCACAAAATCACGTGACTGCATCTTGTACGAGAAGCTGACTCTACCACTGTTCAAGGAGCACCGCGAAGCTGACAAAGCACCGGAAAAGATTTTCGAAGGACATCGCAGCTTCTCCACGTCACACGATGAAGCAGACCTGGCGAAGGATGCTGACGCAGCAGACAACACACCAACGGATCCATATCCCAATATCCCCCTTTCAAGCCCACTCCAGACTCCAACATTCACCCCTGTTCATCAATTCGATCCTGCTGATACACTTTGCGAAGCCCACAATTGCAACAATGAAGTGCGCCGATCTCCGGATGCCGAGTTACCACCACCGAACACCTCGCAAGACACCCTCCGCTTCGGCAACGACAGTGACGACGACGTCGTCGAAGTAACCAGCTTCCACGACTACGACCGCCTTCACTACGAAAAGACCAACGAAACTGGTCTCCGCATCCTTGGGCTCGCCGTATATTCGCCACACCTCCCCCAAGGAACCCACCACTGTTCACCAGGCATTGTCTGGCCCCGACAGTGAAAAATGGAAGGCAGCCATGGCCACAGAAGTCGCAGCACTGAAGAGCCGCGGAACGTGGAAACTGGTTCCACGATCATCGGCAAAGGGGAGAAAAATTCGAAGTGGAAAATGAGTTTTCCGCATCAAAGCACTCGCGGATGGCTCCATTGACAAATACAAGGCAAGATGGGTGGTGCGCAGGTTCGAGCAAACTCACATGGTGGACTTCGACTTCACATACGCGCCTGTCGGACGACACACCTCGGTACGCATCCTCATCTGCATCACAGCCGTCAAACAGCGGCCACTCCGTCAAATCGACGTCGGCAGTGCATTCCTGTACGCTCCCGTCAACGCCATAATTTTCGTTGAGCAGCCGCATGCCTTCGAGGAGTGCGACGGCACTGTCTGCCTTCTTCAAAAATCCCTCTATGGGATTGAACAGGCGCCCCGACTGTGGCAGCAGTACCTGCACACCGTCCTCACGGAGCTTGGATTCAAACAACTACCGCATGACCTTGGGATGTATCGGAAGGAGTTGCGCGGCAAGTTCATCCTTCTCGTCGCCTACGTCGAGAATCTACTCTACACCGGTGACGACACCGAGCTGCTGGACCAGTTTGAGGCAGACATCAAAGAGAAGCTAGAAGTGACAATCAACCACAACGTCACGCAATTCCGGGGACTCAACATCACTCAGTCCGCCACCTCCATTCACCTTTCCGCCGCCAAGTATGCGGAAGCACTTGCGAAGAAATTCGCTGTCGCGTCGATCAATCTCACCACTCCCTACCACACTCCTCCTCCTAATCACGAACCAGATACCACACCGCTCTCCATTGACGATCATCGGCTCTATCAACAGCAGCTGGGGTGTCTCTTATTCGCCGCCGTCACGTGCCGGCCCGATCTCTCCTACGTCGCAAGCAAGCTCCACAGTACCTGAAGCGACCTGAAGGGGAGAATTTACTGGATCTACGCCGAGCACTTCAATACTTCGTCTCCACTCCTGATGTCGGCCTCACCTACAAAGCTAACCTAACTGCTACCCTGCAGCTCCATGGCTACGTAGACGCAGACCACGCAGGAGACATTGATAACAGACGCTCTCGCACGGGATTCATTTTTCAACTCCAACCTGTTGGGCTCATCTCTTGGAACTCTCAAAAACAGGAACTCGTCGCCCTTTCGTCAGCCGAAGCTGAGTTCATCGCCGCCAGCGCAGCTGTTCGCGAAGGACTGTACCTGATGGAGCTCCTACAGGAAGCGAAAGTGACGATGAGCGGGCACTTCACATTACTCTGCGACAACCAGAGCACGATCAAAATCACGAACAAGCCCGGCTTCGTGAACCGCACGAAACACATCGCACTCCGTTACTTCTTCGTCAAAGACAAAATCGACAAAGGGAAGTTCAAACTCACATACTGCCCAACTGGTGACATGGCAGCAGACTTCTTGACCAAGAAGCTGCCACTTCAGAAGTTTCAGCACTGCACCAACCTCTGCGTGATCTCGAAGAAATCCCACGTGGCTCACCTTCAGGAATGAAGGGGAGTGTTGGAATAACCTAAAGGTTACAGTAACATTCCCGAAGGCTCTCCACTCGCGCGTCACTCCATAACGAAGCTACGCGCCTGTATCATTATCGCAATAGCTCATATAGAGCATGCGGAAGGTCGAGGGTCACCCGAAGGTCAACAGTCAAAGACAGTCAACGGTCGTGACCCTTGACTGCCCAGTAACCGCACTTGGAAGTTACGCGATGCAACGCGATAACTGTCATGAATAGCAATAGTCGTGGTTACTGTAGCAATGCAATTCAGTTAGTAAGGGAATGTACCCCTCAAATTACATGGCTAGCTAGGATTGCTATTTATATCTTTGTACCACTATCCTTTAATCATCTTGTTCTCTTTCAACTTATGAACAAGGTCATTACAAAGACTTCATTGTCTTCTCTTAAACTTGACAGAATTATCCTATCCACTACGATCCTTCACTTATAACAACATGTACCCTTGGCCAAAACCTCCCTTGTATTACGCGAGCCATTGATACTTTCTCATGGCTTCATTCATATTATGAGAATGTCTTCACTCGGGTTGGCAGAAGAACATACCCCCCGTCATATCGGGAGCTGGTGCCACTGCAGCTGGCGAGTATCGCATATTGCAGCTTTCCACTCCCGTACATGGAAGTTCATCAACGATCGCTTGAGTATTCTGCGAAATAACATATCATATGATTCTTCGTTTCCTCATGTAATCCACATAAAACTAAATATACTGGTTTTAAACACATCAGATACTTGAGCATGTAACATAATTAGGTTGCTCTGACTGAATACATATTGGTTGGCATAACTGACAGCGCAAACTGACATACACCATTCCTAGTCATCATATCCCATCACAAACCCAATGCCATGACATCACAACCACCGTCCAGCCCAATCAAACCACCATCCCATGCCATCGTTCACAAATGATCCGTGCCATTCCACACACCATCCCCATGCCAACACACAGACCATCCTATGCCATCACACGCACTATCCCATCATGTAACACTGTGTGGGGGGGTGTCAGTAGAGCTGCACTGTGAGATCCCCGATTGATCCTAGGGCGGTTACAGGCGTGTTAGCAAGGGGGGTTATTGGCGCACTGGCCCTCTACTGAAACAAGCCCTTTTATCCAAATGGTATAGTGGTCGGGATTCTGACACTCACACACACACCATCCCATACAATCACACACACCATCCCACACCATCACACACACCATCCCATGCCATTACACACACCATCCCATGCCATCACACACACCATCCCATGCCATCACACACACCATCCCATACAATCCCTCGCACCATCCCATGACACACACCATCTTATGTCGTTACACATTTTTTTACTGACCCGTATAGTCCATCTTGCCACCCAACTCATCACTCACATGGTCCCTCAACAGTGAGCAACATCAAGGGACCACCCTATATACATGTGGGATGCCATGACTGGCCACATATGTGCTCAGGTGATGGGGCAGGTGTATGCTCAACTCACGTGGTGGGGCTGTAGCGAGGGGTCTTAGTAAGTCCACATTTTGCAAACTTTTTCATATTCTATATTCGTCTGTCTTTCATCGAGAATCGGACAAATTTTCCATATTTATTCCTTGAAGGTCCACTGTTCAGTGATGTTGTGGTTAGACCAAGGTAGGCAGCCTGACAACTTACTATTCAAAGCAAATGATACTGCAGGCTCTGGCTGCTCCCATCGTTCCTTGCTGCTCTCATATTCTTTTCCCCCTATCCCGCCCACACACGTTTTTTCCTCACCCCTCCCATCCGACTGCCCTCCCCTCAGCGACACCCCGCCCGTGTTATATAACGGCCTATTGGCATGCTGGCAAGAAATCTGCCTCACGTGCTTCACACCAAGTTTTGTGGCCATGTGCCCTTGTGATGGCCTCGGGTTGGTGCATGGGAATCAGCTTCCTCTCCATGCCCCCATATTGCCTCCGTTTCTCCAAATGCCACCCCTCCCCTTCCCCCGTGGCCCCCAACCAATCCTCTTAGAGGTAGACACAGGCACAAGAGGATTGAATGATGTCACGTTTCTCTTCACTTCTTTCTTTGATTCTCTCCAATAGGGCATATGTTAAGCTCAGAACAATATGGCCATAGGAACCGCTCTCTCCCCAAGCGTTCAACCCCCTTCCCTCTTATGTTGTCTATCTCCCACACCCCCCTTCTCTCCCTTCACGTTGTTGTTTACCCTCTTACCTCTCAACCCTCCCCTTCCACCTCCCGCACCATTTCGTTTCGTTGCGTGTCAAGAAAAGTACAGTTACTTGTGCATTCTATGCCAATCCAGCCATGCCGATAATTGATTCGCACTGCTGAGCTTGTGTCACCCTAGAGCTCCATCCAACAAAGTTAGTTCTAATTTTAGTTGTCAAGTACAAACCCTAAAGTAAAACCTCTATTAAACAGTTACTGTAAGCACATTGATGGTGTGAACACTTGCAGCAGCACTGGTGCGGTCTACCCCACCTGAGGGGTTTGTCGATGGCCCTTCATCGTCTGAGCAACTCTACAGTGGCATTTCATTTGGCACACTCTTTAATGACTCGTACATGGGAGCATTGTTTTGAAATGTCAAGCAACCGTCCCAGACGGCTGTCACCATATTCCTACATTTGCGTCTTTACCTTCACACATCATTCTGCTTGTTCACAAAGGCTAATCATTCGCTCTTCTGAAACGTTTTCAAAGTTTCCTTTCGGGTGAAGTCGACCTCTTGCAGCAACTTAGAAGCTTCCGTTTGGATGATCCTCCACACCGCCTGGACATGCGTCATCTCTGTCTTCACCGCCCCTATTGCCATGCGCAACGTGTACTGCCCTGGTAGCACCTGCATAGGGTCATGTAGTCTCGTGGTCAAATGCCCGCAGGCTCTCAGGTGTAAACGAATGAACAAGGCATGCAGCAGTATGATGGGGGACTCACAACATGCATGAGGGGATTTTGAAGCACCTCAAGAGATTCAGTATGTATGTGAGAGACTTTTGAGGAATGAAGCAGGCGTGTAGCAACATTCTAAGGACTGACCGTATGTGTGAGGTACGCATGCCCGCTGCTGTTGATTGCCTCTAGTAGCGCTGCATTCATCTCCTTCCCTCCGTTCGCACCCTCCACCCCCTTAGCCAAGACCCCCTCGCCCTCCACTCCCTTGTCCAACTCCCCCTCGCCCGCACCTCCGCATGCCTCCCCGCCATATGCGCGGGCTGCTGGCAGATTGAGGCGGAAGCAGACGAGGGCGAAGGGGCGTGGCGCCATCAGCTGGGAGGGGGGAGAGGGTAGGGGGGAGGGGGGAGGGGTAGCAAGAGGGTAGCATGGTGAAATCATTTCGGTGAAAAGGAGAGAAAGAGAGGCATATGACACATGAGATGGTGTGTGAAGGGTGTGTGAGGCAGCGTGTGAGAGGGCACGTGAGAGGGCATGTGAGTGGATGTGTGAGAGGGTGTGTAAGTGAGAGGGTAGCACAGGTGGCACATGCAGGGAGTGATGGCATGCTGCACTCCAGCTCACCTGGAACCTCTCATCTTGCCGCACGGCCTCCTCGAATCACTCAGCAAGCGCCACGTGGCGCTTGATGTATGTGTAGATGCTCTTTGTGCCATACGTGTGCAGCACCATCCGCAGCTTCAGTGACCTGCTCGGGGGCTCGGTGGGTGGCGTGTGCAGGGCATGGGCAAGGGCAAGGGCATGGGCATGGGCATGGGCATGGGCATGGGCATGGGCATGGGCATGGGCATGTCCATGGGCATGGGCATGATATGGATTTCATGGGCATGGCATGGGCATGGCAGTGACCATATTGAACAAGTATTATTTCCTTTGGTGAAGATTCAATCTGTATGACAATACATGTAACTTATATATATATATATATTGTTGGACACACTAGTTCCGGAATCAGGAAGTGATTGCACATCGGAAGCAGTAAAAAATTTGTGATCCCTATAGCGGGGATTTTACATTGGCACAGCATCACTGCTTGCTCGATCTCCCCCTTCATCGCCATTCCCAGTCCCGCCCCTGATCCCCTCCGCCCTCCATGCTCGCCCGCAGTTTTCCGCGTCCTTCACTCGCTATTCTCCGCGCGCTGGAAGCCTGCGCCGTGCTTTCCCCATCCACGCGGAAAGCCGCATTTCGAATGCCGTCTGCCACGTGTGTAACAGGTGCGACAATGTCTCACTTGTCGCTATCTGCGCGGCATTCCGCATCCGTGGCAGCCGCTCCGGCCGTCCGTTGCGGCGCGGTCGCCCCTCCATGCTGCCCGTCGTCGGCGCGCGCGGCCCACCTTTCGCGCGTCGACGTGTGCACGGCCGCCGCGCCTTCCACCAGCTCGTCGAGGGCCGTGGCGAGGGCGCCGCGCCCCAATATGGGGAGAGCTCGCGCGCACGCGGTGTCGGTGGCAGAGGGGCAGACGGCGGAAGGCTCGGCGCGCGGTGAGGGGGAGTTTGAGGCGGTGATCGGCATCGAAACGCACGTGCAGCTGAACACTGCAACCAAGGTGCGTGGCGGATTTAGTCGCGCGTCGGGCAAGGCGCAGCGGATCAGTGGGGCGCGCTACGGGGGTGGGGAACTGTTTAAGCCAGAAGCCGCGCAGCTCCACGCCTACTGCCACCGCCGCTCGCCGCCATCTCACTCCGCGCCCTCCGCGCCTCCTTGCGCACCACATATGCGCCTCTTCCCCCCGCCCGCCACGAGGCAACACTCGCCACTCAGTCCCGCCCATTCTCCCCCGCGCCCTCCCCCTTCGATCCGCCGCCCGCCGGCAGGCGTTCTGCAGGTGCGCGGCACAGTACGGCGCGGCGCCCAACGAGCACGTGTGCCCCACGTGCATGGGGCAGCCCGGCGCCCTGCCCGTGCTGAACGCGCGCGTGGTGGACGCGGCTGTGCGGCTGGCGCTGGCGCTGCAGTGCCGCGTGGCGCTGACGAGCAAGTTCGACCGCAAGCAGTACTTCTACCCCGACCTGCCCAAGGGCTACCAGGTGAAGGGAGACCTGTTGACTTTTGAGTTGACTTGACTCAGAAGTCAACGAGCAAGTTTGACCGGAAGCAGTACTTCTACCCCGACCTGCCCAAGTGCTACCAGGTGCGACCTGCCCAAGGGCTACCAGGTGAAGGGCTACCAGGTACCGCCCTGCCTCCCCAAGAGCCCCATGCTAGGTGCGTTGCATTGTAGGGCTAGCACGTGGCATGTAGTGGCACAGGAGAGGCGCAGGAGAATGCGGGGCAGGGTTGAGCAGAGAGCAGAGTGCTGAGAGTGCAGGCAGGCGGGCACGTCGAGACATCTCCTTCCCCATTCATTCCCATGCCAATTATCCTCCCCTCCCCCCTCCACTCTCTCAATGCCACTACCACCACGCCACGCCCCCTGCCACCCTCTCCCCTCCCCTCGTGCTGTGCTGCACTGCACGGCGGCAGATATCGCAGTTTGACGAGCCCCTGGCAGTGCACGGCCACGTGGACGCTTTTTGAGGCGCCTAAAAAAATCCCCCCTCCACTCTCTCAATGCCACCACCACCACGCCCCCTGCCACCCTTCCCCCCGTGCTGTGCTGCACGGCGGCAGATATCGCAGTTTGACGAGCCCCTGGCAGCGCGCGGCCACGTGGACGTGGACATGCCCCTCGAGGCGGGCGGCGGGCGGCGGCGCTTTGGAGTCACGCGCGCCCACCTGGAGGAAGATGCGGGGAAGTCGCTGCATGGGGGGGATGGCAGCCAGGTGAGGCGCTGCTTGGGGGGGATGGCAGCCAGGTGAGGCGCTGCTTGGGGGGGATGGCAGCCAGGTGAGGCGCTGCTTGGAGGGGATGCCAGCCAGGTGAGAGGCTGCTTGCTGGTGGTGACACGTGGGATGGGATGGTGGTGAGGGAGGTGAGGTGAGGTGAGGTGAGGTGAGGTGAGGTGAGGTGAGGTGAGGTGAGGTGAGGTGAGGTGAGGTGAGGTGAGATGAGGTGAGGTGAGGTTAGGTGAGGTGAGGTGAGGTGAGGTGAGGTGTACCAGGTATGGCAGCACTGCCCCTGCTTGCTGTCGCTGCCAGCGTGGCTTGCACGTTTTTTTACATGCATAGCTGTCCGTGCCCTCTCTGCCCTCTCTGCCCATGCTATCTCTGCCCGTGCCCTCTCTCAGGTGGATCTGAACCGGGCGGGGGTGGCACTGGTGGAGGTGGTATCTGAGCCCGACATGCGCTCGGGGGCAGAGGCGGCTGAATACGCCGCCGAGCTGCAGAGACTGGTACCGTGGCGTGTGCTGTGTGTCGTTTGCCGTTTGCCGTGTGCCGTGTGCTGTGTGCTGTGTTTGAGTCGAATCAAATGCTGTGTGCTGTATGCTGTGCGCTGTGTGCTGTGCCCTGTGCCCTGTCCCCTGTGCCCAAACAATTGCCCATTGATAAACTTCTATGTGCCCTTGTTTCCGGTCAGTTTGTTCTTCTCAGTCTGTGTTGTAATGCAACCACCCATACTCCATACACCCGTGCACTCATGCAACCATGCACCGCTCTCAACCCATGTGACTCTTGTTAGATTACCATCCTCATTGTAACCTGCATCAATCATATAAGCTTAGGTTAGAGATAGACACCCAAACTTAGTTTGGGTGTAGAACTAGGGCTAACCCTAGTTGGGGGTTGGAAGTCAAACCTTGACCCCCAAGGTTGGTTCGGGAATTATTGGTCCCCCCAATAATGTTGAACCACTTGGTCAACATTATTGGTCCCCCCAATAATCCCTCAACCCAACTTATTGGTGGGGGCCAATAATGTTGGCTAGGTTCCCAACCAAACCACCCATCCTAGCACTACTATATATACCCCCCATACTTTCTAACCAAACTATCGGTTCTTCTTCAACTATTCTCACAACTCTGCCTTGTGTGCATGCGCTCCCCTGTACCGTGGGCCGGGCCTCCCTGCCTGTCGGTGTGTGTGTGGTGCGGGTGCGGGGGGAATGGCACGTGATCAGGTGCGGTACGTGGGGGTGGGCAACGGCAACATGGCAGAGGGCTCCATGCGCTGCGATGTCAACGTCTCCGTGCGGCCCCGCGGTCAAACCACCCTTGGCACCAAGGTGAGTCGTGCTTTGATTGAGTCGACCCAGAACGAGTCGTGTTTTGAGCTGACTCAAAACGAGTCTTGTCTTGAGTCGTCTTTAAACACGGCTCCATGCGCTGCGATGTCAACGTCTCAGTGCAGCCCCATGGTCAAACCACCCTCGGCACCAAGGTGAGTGAGAGGTCCGGCCGGCCGCACCAAAAAGAGAGGTTCGGCCTTAAGGACAGAGGCTCGGCGACAAGGTGCGAACAATACGGGCTCGAGGGTGATGGGCTGGGGAGGGGAGCATATGGCATGGCAGGTCCGTGAAGTTTTGAGGCGCCTCAAAACGGCAGCATATGGCATGGCAGGTCCGTGAAGTTTTGAGGCGCCTCAAAACGGGAGCATATGGCATGGCAGGTCCGTGAAGACGAGTGCGTGCGTTGCGTGTTGGACTCGTGTGTAGCCATGAACACTTGGAACGATCCTTTCCTTTGCTTCCTATGCATACATTGCTTGCTCGCTCCCTCGCTCGCTCACCACATGCGTTAATTCAGCTTAATCAGCCCGTTCCCTGTTCTTCTCGATGCCAGTTGGAGATGATGAGTAGCCTGAACTCGTTCCGTGTCCGTGTTGCCCCGCCCCAGTGGCATGGCATGGCAGGTGGAGATCAAGAACATGAACTTCTGAGTCGATTCAAAAGTCACCTCGTTCCGTTGCGATTTTTTAGTCGCCTCAAAAATCGCCTCAATGCAGGTGGAGATCAAGAACATGAACTCGTTTCGGGAGATGCAGCGAGCCATTGACTTTGAGATCACGCGGCAGTCACAGCTGCTCAGGGACGGCAAGGCGCAGCACATCGTGCAGGAGACGAGGCTGTGGGATGAGGGCAGGCAGGTGAGACGAGGCTGTGGGATGAGGGCAGGCAGGTGAGACGAGGCTGTGGGATGAGGGCAGGCAGGTGAGACGAGACTGTGGGATGAGGGCAGGCAGGTGAGACAAGGCTGTGGGATGAGTTTTGAGACATCTCAAAACTACACTTTCTTTCTGCAGGTGCGTGAGACGAGGCTGTGGGATGAGGGGGGGCAAGGAGGCGGCAACGAGCTGATGGAAGCAATCACCATTTTAACCCATTGCTCCTTCCTTTCTCTCCTCGTTTCAGCCCTTGCAAGAGCACTTAGGCTACCACTACTTGAATTTGTTGGACATGGGTAGAGAGATTTCTTGTCGACGTTCTGTTTTTACATCTCCACCGTAAGAATATTCACACACTAGCCAGAGAGGAGCTTATGAGAAGCCTGGCAGGCCTGTCACGTGCGTACCTGCCTCACAAGGCTTGTCATGAGCCACGAGCCCCGGCCTGTCACCATTGCTCGGCTCACGACAAGCCCGCTACGAGCTTGTTCATGCCGACACCTTCCATTCCTAACTCCTCATTTTTGTGCTACATAGACACGAACCGCCACTTCCCTTACCGTCGAATTCTGAGTTTATAGATCTTATCAATCTAATCTCCCTTCTCCTCCGCCCCCTACCCCCACCCCCCCCCCCTCCCCCCCAACCTGGCAGGAAACAGCAGCGATGCGGTCCAAGGAAGGCCTGGCGGACTATTGGTCCTTCCCCGACCTGGACCTGCCTGCACTGCTCCTGGACCGTCGAATTCTGAGTTTATAGGTCTTATCAATCTAGTCTCCCTTCTCCTCCCCCCCCAACACCCTGCCAGGAAACAGCAGCGATGCGGTCCAAGGAGGGTCTGGCGGACGACTTTTGAGATGTCTCAAAAGTCTCCCTCGCCCCCCCCCTACCCCCTGGCAGGAAACAGCAGCGATGAGGTCAAAGGAGGGTCTGGCGGACTATCGGTATTTCCCTGACCCGGACCTGCCCGCGCTGCACCTGGAAGAAGCCTTCCTGCTCCAGCTGCAGGCGGGCCTGCCGGAACTGCCGGAGCAGCGGCGGCGGCGCTACGAGGCGCTGGGGCTGTCCGTGCAGGACGTGCTCGTGCTCGTGGACGACCGGGAGGTGCGCTTTGGAAGGCTTGGGGGAGGACTTGTAGAGAGGTGACTGTTGGGAGGTGATTGCTGGGGCTGTCCATGCAGGACGTGCTCGTACTCGCGGACGACTGGCAGGTGCGTGCGCCCATGGGCCAAGGTGATTGTGGGGGGTGAGTGTAGGGAGGTGATTATAGGGAGGGGGGTGATCATAGGGAGGTGATTGTAGGGAGGTGACTGTGGGGAGATGACTGTGGGGATGCGATTGTAGGGAGGTGATGACAAGGCTGTGTTGAGGAGGCGATGAATACAAAGTGATGTTGGGTGATAGTAAGGAGTTTATCAAACTATTCTATAGAGGTGGGGGTTCTGCTGTGAGGTGATGGCATGGGGGGAGCAAAGTTGCTGCCAAGGCATGTTTGCACGCATGTGGGAGCACATGGGCCTCTGTGTGTACCATCCTTGCAGCTCCTTCACATCGTGCCTGTCCATCGCCTCTCACCTCTGCATCATGTGCAAAGCCCTTCCTCTCCCCCCCACACCGCGGCACTTCTCCGACTACTGCAGCGGCGTGCTGCGTCAAATAAGGCCCCCGCAGCCCACCTGTCCGTTACTGACAGCCCCTTCCTCTCCTCCCCCCCCCAACCGCGGCATCAACCGCGGCAGTTCTCAGACTACTGTGGCGGCGTGCTGGCAGCGGGGGCGGAACCCAAGGCGCGGCCTTTTGAGTCGACTCAAAAGTCACCTCAAAGCCCTGCCTCTCTCCCCCCCCAACCCAACTGCCGAACAGTTTTCGGACTACTGTGACGGTGTGCTGGCAGCGGGGGCGGAGCCCAAGGCGGCGGCCAACTGGCTGATGGGCGACGTCACGGCGCTGCTCAAGGCGCACCGCTGCTCCGTGCCGACCATGGCCGCCCGCATGCCGCCCGCCAGCCTGGCGGAGCTCATCGCGCTCATTCAGGACGGCACCATCAGCGGCAAGATCGGAAAGGAGGTGTGTGGCACACGTGCAGTGGCTGGCAAGGAGGTGTGTGGCACACGTGCAGTGGCTGGCAAGGAGGTGCGTGGCACACGTGTAGTGGCTGGTGGCAGGGCTCAGCAGTGATAGTGTGCCCACGTGGTCACATCCTAGAATGAAAGTGGTGGAGTAGGGTAGAGCGTACGGTACTAGTTGCAATGGCCTTATGTGGTTTGTGGGCCACCACTAGGTTGTTTCAGGTTAAGCTTCATTCATTTTCATATTACTATTCGTTTCACCCCAACCTGCTCTTCTTCACCCCAACCTGCTCTTCTTCACCCCAACCTGCTCTTCTTCACCCCAACCTGCTCTTCTTCACCCCAACCTGCTCTTCTTCACCCCAACCTGCTCTTCTTCACCCCAACCTGCTCTTCTTCACCCCAACCTGCTCTTCTTCACCCCAACCTGCTCTTCTTCACCCCAACCTGCTCTTCTTCACCCCAACCTGCTCTTCTTCACCCCAACCTGCTCTTCTTCACCCCAACCTGCTCTTCTTCACCCCAACCTGCTCTTCTTCACCCCAACCTGCTCTTCTTCACCCCAACCTGCTCTTCTTCACCCCAACCTGCTCTTCTTCACCCCAACCTGCTCTTCTTCACTCCAACCTGCTCTTCTTCACCCCAACCTGCTCTTCTTCACCCCAACCTGCTCTTCTTCACCCCAACCTGCTCTTCTTCACCCCAACCTGCTCTCTTCACCCCAACCTGCTCTTCTTCACCCCAACCTGCTCTTTTTCACCCCAACCTGCTCTTCTTCACCCCAACCTGCTCTTCTTCACCCCAACCTGCTCTTCTTCACCCCAACCTGCTCTTCTTCACCCCAACCTGCTCTTCTTCACCCCAACCTGCTCTTCTTCACCCCAACCTGCTCTTCTTCACCCCAACCTGCTCTTCTTCACCCCAACCTGCTCTTCTTCACCCCAACCTGCTCTTCTTCACCCCAACCTGCTCTTCTTCACTCCAACCTGCTCTTCTTCACCCCAACCTGCTCTTCTTCACCCCAACCTGCTCTTCTTCACCCCAACCTGCTCTTCTTCACCCCAACCTGCTCTTCTTCACCCCAACCTGCTCTTCTTCACCCCAACCTGCTCTTCTTCACCCCAACCTGCTCTTCTTCACCCCAACCTGCTCTTCTTCACCCCAACCTGCTCTTCTTCACCCCAACCTGCTCTTCTTCACCCCAACCTGCTCTTCTTCACCCCAACCTGCTCTTCTTCACCCCAACCTGCTCTTCTTCACCCCAACCTGCTCTTCTTCACCCCAACCTGCTCTTCTTCACCCCAACCTGCTCTTCTTCACCCCAACCTGCTCTTCTTCACCCCAACCTGCTCTTCTTCACCCCAACCTGCTCTTCTTCACCCCAACCTGCTCTTCTTCACCCCAACCTGCTCTTCTTCACCCCAACCTGCTCTTCTTCACCCCAACCTGCTCTTCTTCACCCCAACCTGCTCTTCTTCACCCCAACCTGCTCTTCTTCACCCCAACCTGCTCTTCTTCACCCCAACCTGCTCTTCTTCACCCCAACCTGCTCTTCTTCACCCCAACCTGCTCTTCTTCACCCCAACCTGCTCTTCTTCACCCCAACCTGCTCTTCTTCACCCCAACCTGCTCTTCTTCACCCCAACCTGCTCTTCTTCACCCCAACCTGCTCTTCTTCACCCCAACCTGCTCTTCTTCACCCCAACCTGCTCTTCTTCACCCCAACCTGCTCTTCTTCACCCCAACCTGCTCTTCTTCACCCCAACCTGCTCTTCTTCACCCCAACCTGCTCTTCTTCACCCCAACCTGCTCTTCTTCACCCCAACCTGCTCTTCTTCACCCCAACCTGCTCTTCTTCACCCCAACCTGCTCTTCTTCACCCCAACCTGCTCTTCTTCACCCCAACCTGCTCTTCTTCACCCCAACCTGCTCTTCTTCACCCCAACCTGCTCTTCTTCACCCCAACCTGCTCTTCTTCACCCCAACCTGCTCTTCTTCACCCCAACCTGCTCTTCTTCACCCCAACCTGCTCTTCTTCACCCCAACCTGCTCTTCTTCACCCAACCTGCTCTTCTTCACCCCAACCTGCTCTTCTTCACCCCAACCTGCTCTTCTTCACCCCAACCTGCTCTTCTTCACCCCAACCTGCTCTTCTTCACCCCAACCTGCTCTTCTTCACCCCAACCTGCTCTTCTTCACCCCAACCTGCTCTTCTTCACCCCAACCTGCTCTTCTTCACCCCAACCTGCTCTTCTTCACCCCAACCTGCTCTTCTTCACCCCAACCTGCTCTTCTTCACCCCAACCTGCTCTTCTTCACCCAACCTGCTCTTCTTCACCCCAACCTGCTCTTCTTCACCCCAACCTGCTCTTCTTCACCCCAACCTGCTCTTCTTCACCCCAACCTGCTCTTCTTCACCCCAACCTGCTCTTCTTCACCCAACCTGCTCTTCTTCACCCCAACCTGCTCTTCTTCACCCCAACCTGCTCTTCTTCACCCCAACCTGCTCTTCTTCACCCCAACCTGCTCTTCTTCACCCCAACCTGCTCTTCTTCACCCCAACCTGCTCTTCTTCACCCCAACCTGCTCTTCTTCACCCCAACCTGCTCTTCTTCACCCCAACCTGCTCTTCTTCACCCCAACCTGCTCTTCTTCACCCCAACCTGCTCTTCTTCACCCCAACCTGCTCTTCTTCACCCCAACCTGCTCTTCTTCACCCCAACCTGCTCTTCTTCACCCCAACCTGCTCTTCTTCACCCCAACCTGCTCTTCTTCACCCCAACCTGCTCTTCTTCACCCCAACCTGCTCTTCTTCACCCCAACCTGCTCTTCTTCACCCCAACCTGCTCTTCTTCACCCCAACCTGCTCTTCTTCACCCCAACCTGCTCTTCTTCACCCCAACCTGCTCTTCTTCACCCCAACCTGCTCTTCTTCACCCCAACCTGCTCTTCTTCACCCCAACCTGCTCTTCTTCACCCCAACCTGCTCTTCTTCACCCCAACCTGCTCTTCTTCACCCCAACCTGCTCTTCTTCACCCCAACCTGCTCTTCTTCACCCCAACCTGCTCTTCTTCACCCCAACCTGCTCTTCTTCACCCCAACCTGCTCTTCTTCACCCCAACCTGCTCTTCTTCACCCCAACCTGCTCTTCTTCACCCCAACCTGCTCTTCTTCACCCCAACCTGCTCTTCTTCACCCCAACCTGCTCTTCTTCACCCCAACCTGCTCTTCTTCACCCCAACCTGCTCTTCTTCACCCCAACCTGCTCTTCTTCACCCCAACCTGCTCTTCTTCACCCCAACCTGCTCTTCTTCACCCCAACCTGCTCTTCTTCACCCCAACCTGCTCTTCTTCACCCCAACCTGCTCTTCTTCACCCCAACCTGCTCTTCTTCACCCCAACCTGCTCTTCTTCACCCCAACCTGCTCTTCTTCACCCCAACCTGCTCTTCTTCACCCCAACCTGCTCTTCTTCACCCCAACCTGCTCTTCTTCACCCCAACCTGCTCTTCTTCACCCCAACCTGCTCTTCTTCACCCCAACCTGCTCTTCTTCACCCCAACCTGCTCTTCTTCACCCCAACCTGCTCTTCTTCACCCCAACCTGCTCTTCTTCACCCCAACCTGCTCTTCTTCACCCCAACCTGCTCTTCTTCACCCCAACCTGCTCTTCTTCACCCCAACCTGCTCTTCTTCACCCCAACCTGCTCTTCTTCACCCCAACCTGCTCTTCTTCACCCCAACCTGCTCTTCTTCACCCCAACCTGCTCTTCTTCACCCCAACCTGCTCTTCTTCACCCCAACCTGCTCTTCTTCACCCCAACCTGCTCTTCTTCACCCCAACCTGCTCTTCTTCACCCCAACCTGCTCTTCTTCACCCCAACCTGCTCTTCTTCACCCCAACCTGCTCTTCTTCACCCCAACCTGCTCTTCTTCACCCCAACCTGCTCTTCTTCCCAACCCTCTCACCCAACCTGCTCTTCTTCACCCCAACCTGCTCTTCTTCACCCCAACCTGCTCTTCTTCACCCCAACCTGCTCTTCTTCACCCCAACCTGCTCTTCTTCACCCCAACCTGCTCTTCTTCACCCCAACCTGCTCTTCTTCACCCCAACCTGCTCTTCTTCACCCCAACCTGCTCTTCTTCACCCCAACCTGCTCTTCTTCACCCCAACCTGCTCTTCTTCACCCCAACCTGCTCTTCTTCACCCCAACCTGCTCTTCTTCACCCCAACCTGCTCTTCTTCACCCCAACCTGCTCTTCTTCACCCCAACCTGCTCTTCTTCACCCCAACCTGCTCTTCTTCACCCCAACCTGCTCTTCTTCACCCCAACCTGCTCTTCTTCACCCCAACCTGCTCTTCTTCACCCCAACCTGCTCTTCTTCACCCCAACCTGCTCTTCTTCACCCCAACCTGCTCTTCTTCACCCCAACCTGCTCTTCTTCACCCCAACCTGCTCTTCTTCACCCCAACCTGCTCTTCTTCACCCCAACCTGCTCTTCTTCACCCCAACCTGCTCTTCTTCACCCCAACCTGCTCTTCTTCACCCAACCTGCTCTTCTTCACCCCAACCTGCTCTTCTTCACCCCAACCTGCTCTTCTTCACCCCAACCTGCTCTTCTTCACCCCAACCTGCTCTTCTTCACCCCAACCTGCTCTTCTTCACCCCAACCTGCTCTTCTTCACCCCAACCTGCTCTTCTTCACCCCAACCTGCTCTTCTTCACCCCAACCTGCTCTTCTTCACCCCAACCTGCTCTTCTTCACCCCAACCTGCTCTTCTTCACCCCAACCTGCTCTTCTTCACCCCAACCTGCTCTTCTTCACCCCAACCTGCTCTTCTTCACCCCAACCTGCTCTTCTTCACCCCAACCTGCTCTTCTTCACCCCAACCTGCTCTTCTTCACCCCAACCTGCTCTTCTTCACCCCAACCTGCTCTTCTTCACCCCAACCTGCTCTTCTTCACCCCAACCTGCTCTTCTTCACCCCACCTGCTCT